CGTCACATGCTATGTTTTTAAGGCGACACCTTACCGCCTTAGGGAGGGGGGGCGCTTTGGCGCCTAGGCGGGCGCTTTGGACGCCTAGGCGCCCAAAGCGGTCGATTTTCCAAAGCGGAGGGGGAGCGCTTCGACGCCTAGGCGTCGCCTTAGGGACGCTTTAAAAACATAGGTCACATGCCACTCCCGGGGGAGCTCTAGCGCCGCCAAAACTTGGTCGCCTCCCATCCCCTCCTCTCCATCGCCGTCGCCGAAGGGTGCTGCCAGAGTGCGGCGCCGGGGGCGGCAAGGCTTCTCATCCCTCTCGCGGGGTTGGCTCGCGGCGCAGGACGTCCTGACTTTGCGTGGGTGTGAGCCTCAACATGGTGCGCGGTGCCGCGACCGCGGGTTTCCGACGGTGGCACAGATGCGAGGCTGCGGTGTGGCGGCGTGGTGGAGGTGTGACGGCGGACGTGCTCGGGATGGGCGTAGTGCTTCGGTCAAGAGGCACGACGTCGATCTAGCGGTTGTGCACTTTTGACCTAGCAGCGGCTGCTCTCCGCACAGGCGCACGTCAACGCTGGTGATATGTATTCCATGCTCCAACTCTGGCCATGTCAACCCAGGGGCGAACGGGCCTGTGCAGGGTTCTCTCCGGCGAGGTGGTAGCCGACGGTGGTGTGCTCCACCAACGGTGTTGGTCATTGTGGTGACCACTCCGGCCTGCGGCGGAGGACATGCTCGGGGTGGGCGCAATGCTTCGGTCAGGAGGCATAGCACTGATCTGGCGCTTCTGTTCTAGCAGCGGCTGTGCTCCACACGAGCGCATGTCAGCGATGGTGATATGTCTTTCATGGTCCAGCTCTGGCCATGTCGACCCAGTGGCGGACGGGCCTGAGCAGGGTTCCCTTCGACAAGGTGGTAGTCGACGGCGGTGTGCTCCGCCAACGGTGTTAGTCCTTGTGGTGACCACTCCGTCCTGTGGCGGCGGACACGCTGCTGACTGCGGTGGCCACCAAAAGATCTTTGTGAGGGTTCCTCTCTCTAGATCCAGTGGTTGGCTTCGGCTGGGAGATGCAAACTATGGGTGACAACTTGAGGCGGAGAGATGGTTGTGCAGTAGTGGCGGTCGCACATCGCATCTAGTTGTTGGGATCGCTAAAAAGTGGTGGCGACAACACATGAGTGGTGTCGATGGTGGTGTTACTCAAGCACCCGGTCTCGAGCTCCAAGGTGAAAGCCTAGGTCTGACCCATCACCCGTGTTAGTTATACCTGCCAATGGCAATGTTTTTACATCGTTACCTTGTTGAAGGCATTGCTCGGATATGCTCGGACTGCTCTTCAAGGTGAAAATCTACATTCTGGCCTTGGTTCGTTGGATCCGGTGACAACGGAGATTCTCCTACTGCATAAAAAGGAAGTGAAGTCAAGAGTGAGAGTGGTTCATAACATCCATAGTCAGAATCATAGGGGTTGTATAGTATACAGTTTATAAGTAGAAAAGCAGAGTTAAAGTACCAGGCATTTTGGATAAAAAAAAGTGACGAAGCATAGGAGTTCTCCAATGTAGTTATAGTTGCTTCACAATTATGCAACTAACCAAACGTAATTGCTTGAGAAACTTGAGAAAAGGCAAAATTGAATCGCTTTTGAAAATAGAGAAAAAGAATCATGCACTAATGAGTTTAACTTTAAGATTAAGATGGTGTATGTATAAAGCAACATTAAGAAAAGACAAAGGGTTCATCTTTGCCACGGTTCAGTACAACTCACACAAATGATTGCCTGCTTTGCTATAGTTCAGTACAACTGTCAATTAACAAAGAAACACACACAGGACTATAGGTAGGCAAAGACTGAAAATGAGTTTGTAGTATAATGCTGTTTGGGAACTTGCTGAACAAGCTACAAAAACACATAGGACGTACAGGCTCCACACAAGGGTCAAATTCCAGAATCAACATTGACATCAAGTCCAGAATCGTCTTATCCAACATTTGAGCATGCCACACTCCTTTTTTTTCTTTTTTCTTTTTGAAGAACGGCATGCCACATACATATCATTCAAAAGTTGAGCAATATATTTAAGGAGCAGTCATCCTTTTCTAGCACCACATATCTACATATCAAGAAATAACTAATCACTCATCAGAAAATTCGATTCACATATGACAATTGCTTGGTTAACATAACATCCTCTTTTAAGAGTGAGTTGTGCAATGTTCTGTTAAACACCAGGCAATGCATACAATGATTCACCAATTTATCACTAAGCTCGTACCAGATGGACAAATTCCAACAAGAGGCACTTGTGCCTAGCAAAGCCCCAATCATCTTGACAATAGCAAGCTCATCTTACTTCTCGTCCTAATAATCTTGACATAGCCCTGACAAAATCGATTCCATTAGCATCCAAGCAAATAGTAATGATCTCAGAGCAGAGCAAGAGCAGGGCATATACCAAATCATCATCCATAGAGGAGGCAGTTCTGTGAGGAGGAGGCCGTGGCCTCTGGGGAAGGAAGCGAACGGCGCAGCCACTGTGAAGGGGAAGCCAGGCAGAGATGGCGGCGGGCGGCGGGAGTGCCGGCAGGGAGGAGAGTTCAGCGCGTCTCCCTCCTTGCACGCGGTGGCCGTCGACGGCGAGGAAAAGTTGTTGACATGATCTTCAAGTCCCATCGCTGTAGTTGACCTGGCACTTGGAGCAATACTTGCCATTGACCCCATCATTCCCTGGTAGGTGCAGAAAGAAGTGCAAGATATTACATGCAGGAGCACCTAAGAGTTAGCTTGTTGTGAGAGCTGTAGCACAATGAACTCTAAAAAAGCAACAATGCCATGCTAAAGTAGCAAACAAAGAAAATGTCTAATGCATTGGCATTTAGATGTACTAAGAAAAAGAGAGTTACAATAATGCTGCTAATAAAAAATATTCGTGAGTACAGCAGAATGTAGTTAGCATGGCATCATGGCATTATGTGATGACACATAGCACCAAAGTGCTAAATCTGCAGGAATGTAGTGCCACTTTTTTGCACCTGAATAAGGAAGGCCAAGGCAGGATCAACCAAAGCAGGCATTGAATACATATAGAAGTTGAAGAAAATGAAGTAAAAACAAACATCTTTGTTTCAGCAGCTGGCAAACATGCCACTTCCCCGTTACAAGCAGGAGATATGGCCCTTCAGGTTGCTGCAGAAACAATTTCCAAATTCAGATGCAAGCAGGTCATTTTTCTGGTGGATAATCTGATCCCAGCCAAGGCAGCAGCGTCAAGAAATATTTTTCTTTCCCCTGGGCATTGGGGTGATGAGAAACCAGCTAGCAAATTTCTTTGTTACAACAGCGAACATGCATATACAAATTCATCACATACCACGGAAACTTAACTCTGTGGCTCACAACTGTGCTTCAAGAAGTAAGTAGATCAGACAAGGTGGTGAGCAAAAATATGTCATGTTGTAGCTTAGCACATACAGGTGATGAGTGTCGTATACTTTCAAAGATAGGCAACCAAGATGTTTAGGATTGCCAAATCCTGAATGTAAAATGTGGTTGATAAATGAATATAAGGCGCCGCCTCTTGTCCAAAATAAAAGAAAGGCCAACGAGCTAATACATTTGGTTCACTAAACCAAAACTAGCATCGTATTAGTTTTGATGGAAACACTGAACAAACAGATAGGGAATTGTCACAAATCAGTGCGGCACATACTGCAAGTGTTAATTGATGTTCTTGAACAGGTAGTTAAAATCACTTTGCTCAGGCCATAGGTTGCTGATATTATTCTACACCCACTAATTGCTCGAATGTATGTAGCATAAGCAAAATATAACAATTTTCAGTGATTATTTTTTCCCACGCCAGCTGAGAGAGAGACCACCGCATTTTACACAGACAGATATGACTAGCTACATCTCACCTCACACAATCAATGTAAAGGGGGCGACGGTTTAGAACCAAAACACACAATAAAAACATAAGTCTGTAACATTCAAAAGGACACCTGAACCTGAAGGCTGGAGTTCTCCTGCCCGGCGTCGGCGGATGCGGATCTGTCGCCGGGCGTGGCGCCGAGGTGGGGAATGGTGGCGCGGGGATGGAGCGCTGGACCTCGGAGCGCCGTACGTCATTACCGTGGCGAGATCGATCGCCCGAGTTCGCCGCCGGAGCACACGGCCGGCGAGGCCCGCCACCGGAGCCCCGAATTAAGCCCTCCCTGCCTCTGCTCTGTGCTCGTTTTGTTCCAAACTGGGGGGCAGCACACATTTGGGGAAACGTTACAGCAGCTATTCTGTACTTCCATGGGGTGGTTTTTGCAAATTTCGAAGGGCGTTGAATCCTGTCCCTATAATATGGATCTAACGGTCTGGCCGTTCATGGTGCAGCCGGCCGGAGCACCCTATCCTTGGGAGCACAGGCGCTCCCGACCAGAGTCCTCCCCGAGCGCGACAGCTAGGGTTCCTAGCCACCGCCGGCCCGCCGCCACTACTTCCGGGCCGAAGCCTCCGCCGCCCCGCTGCCGGCACAAGAGCCCCACCAGCAGCGCCTCCCTCCCTGGAGCAGCCGCTCCCGCCAGCAGCGCCGCCGCCGGCGACCAGTCCGTAGGCAGGTAGCCGCCACTCCTTCGTCCTTCCTCCCTCTTCCCTCCCCCCTCGTTCCCACTTCTTCCCTCATCCCCCCTCCCTCCTCCCTCTTGCATCCTCTGTTTGTTCAAAAAAAAGTTCTTTCCTGATTTTTCTATTGGACGAGTGTACCTGCTGTAGATTTGATATTGAGAGAATATATATAATGATGATCATTTGTTGATGAGTGCTTGCTGCATGATTTTCCCAGTTCATCTTCAAGTCGTTTACATGATTCGATGTTGTTTATTAGGTAGTTTGCGTTGGTGGTGTCGAACTTTTTGGAGTGAGTGGCTAAGAATATGCTCTTTGTTGCGACCGTCAGTGCAGGGCGGCCGTCCACCTCTGATTGTGCGTTTGCACTCTGAGGCCGGCCAAGACGTTCACCCACCCATGGCGGGAACGATGATGGCCGTGACGGCCAAGAGCAAGAACTGCACGCTGGCCTCGGAGAAGAAACATGGGTGGGCTCTTCCGGAGCTCCGGTTCCCCTGGGATTCGCAAGAAGACAAGGCCTTCTCCTTAAGCTTGCATGACTCTGCCTCCCCTCATCATGGTGCGCTGTTTGCTAGCGTTGGTCTGAAAGTGTCGACACCTGCTCCGGCAGTGTCAACCAGTCCGGCGGAGCAGGAGTTCAAGATCCCTTTTGCTGATCATTGCATAAAGTTTGTCTCGTCAGCAGTCGGGTTTCCGGTTGTTGGGGCCGTGGATGGGTCCGTGGAGGAGGAGGTGGTGGTGGATGGTAAGGTTATTAGGAAGAAGGCCAAGAAGCGTGGGCTGAAACTGAAAATTAAGATTGGTAACCCGCATTTGAGGCGGCTGGTTAGTGGGGCTATTGCGGGGGCGGTCTCGAGGACTTGTGTGGCGCCGTTGGAGACAATTAGGACGCACCTGATGGTTGGGAGCAATGGGGATTCAATGACAGAAGTGTTTCAGGCAATTATGAAGACAGAGGGCTGGACAGGGCTGTTCCGTGGGAATTTTGTAAATGTTATCCGTGTTGCTCCAAGCAAGGCGATTGAGGTAACTTTCCATTTATGCTACTTGGCAATTCCCAGTAGACCTTGTTGCTAAAATGTACTCCCCCCGTTCCCAAATATTTGTCTTTCTAGACATTTCAAATGGTTACAACATGCGGATCTATGTAGACATATTTTAGAGTGTAGATTCACTCATTTTGCTTCGTATGTAGTCATTTGTTGAAATCTTTAGAAAGACAAATATTTAGGAACGGAGGGAGTATCATGTGATGTGACCAATGCCTGCTGTATTGCTAATGCTATAGAGGTTCTCTGCTCATTAACTTGTGTACTATAGGGTGTCAACTTCACTTTCATTTGTGATCGTGTGGTAGGGTGTAGTTTTCATCACTTCAATTTGATGTTAATTGTATGGCACACTTACAACAACCTTCAGTCTGCTGATAGATGCAGCAAAATTGATGTGGGAGGAGGGCCATAACCATAATGGGGCACCATTACTTTTTAGTCAATGTTATATAGCACCCAGGCTGTTATTAGTGAAATAGGTGTAACGGTATATGCGATCTGTAAACAGAGTTTCTGGAAAGGAGTTTGGGTTCGCCTAACAGTGAGTTGATGGTTTCCTACATTTGATTAGAATTGAGTTTTATCTTTCAAATGATCAAGGGCCTATCCTCTAGTATTAGTATATGGTGGTCCTGACACTCAAAGTCAGACTCTGGGCACTTTTAGTGTGTATTTAGAGCCTTATTTGTTTAGTTTTTCACTACTTCTACTCCCTGGTTTGAATGATTGGCTGGACTACCACTGCTTGCTTTCTTATATCTTGTCTTCTGAAATTATACTCTAGATGACAAAACATTAATGAAATTTCACTGTAGACAGTTGGTTTGACTATTGCTACAGAAGTACGCTGGGTAGTTATGGTTATCAGACTGCATAATTCTATGTTACACTGATTTGTTTGTGGGTGCATGTTGCACTCAAATTGGTTGTCCTTTTCTGCTTATGAATTTCAGAATGAGGACCTAAGATTTGTTATTAGTGATCAAACACTTTGTGGTTTACCTCTAAGACATACTAACAATATTTTAATTTGATTGATCTCTTTGCATCCAAATGCAGCTATTTGCTTTTGATACAGCCAAAAAATTCCTGACTCCAAAGGGTGATGAGTCCTCTAAGACCCCCTTCCCTCCATCACTTGTCGCGGGGGCACTTGCAGGTGTCAGCTCAACACTGTGCACATATCCTTTGGAACTGATCAAGACACGTCTGACTATAGAGGTGGATACAATTCTTTGTCAACAATGTGTAAGAGTGATATTTCTGAGTACCTCACCTCATGCCTACTTGTTTCTGCAGAAAGACGTATATGACAACTTTCTCCATTGCCTCGTCAAGATTGTACGAGAGGAAGGCCCCTCGGAGCTTTACCGTGGTCTGACGCCGAGTCTGATAGGAGTGGTGCCATACGCCGCGACCAACTACTATGCCTACGACACCCTGAGGAAGCTCTACAGGAAGACATTCAAGCAGGAGGAGATCAGCAACCTTGCAACCCTCCTGATTGGTTCGGCCGCGGGCGCCATCTCGAGCACTGCCACCTTCCCTCTCGAAGTAGCTCGGAAGCAAATGCAGGCTGGGGCGGTGGGTGGAAGGCAGGTCTACAAGAACGTGTTCCATGCCCTCTACTGCATAATGGAGAAGGAAGGGATGGGCGGCCTGTACAAGGGGCTCGGGCCCAGCTGCATCAAGCTCATGCCCGCGGCGGGGATCTCGTTCATGTGCTACGAGGCATGCAAGAAGATTCTGGTCGAAGCCGAGGAGTAGAGCGAAGTGCGCCGCCAGGGTCGGGTCCTTAAAGAAGAGGCGGCAGGAGGATTAAGCCTCGTCTTTCTTTCTATCAAGAAAAGAAAATTGGATGATCAACTACTCATCAGAAGCTTAGGTCAAAGGTATTTGAGACACGTCTGTTAGATGAAGAAGTTTTGGCCTCTAAATTAGTTCTGTGTTCGAGTTGAAATCCATAAACAATATTCTGACTGGCGGAAGCAGTTTTGTCATGCTACTTTGCTTCTGTGCTACTAGCCCTGTTTCTCCCTTTTATCACCAGATCTTGGTTAATCTTTACAGAGAACGGTTCACGATCTTTGCTGAAAATAGCAGTACTACGACAGGCAGTTCGATATCCTGGATTTCATGTCACTGCGGCTGGTTGAATATATGGGATTATATTGTTTTTTGAGCGACAATATGGGACGGAGGGAGTATAACTGATTGATTTCTTTTCAGGATTCAGAAACACAATCTTTGACTCAGAACGATTTTCAGCCTTCTAGTTTTAGGCCTGGCTCGATGGCCGTTTTCTAGCTGAATTCCCTTTAAGCCTGGCTTAAATCACCAATTTCAGTTTTCCTTTTCGCCTGATTTGGGTCGATTACACCCGCAAAATACTACTCCTTAATACTACTGAAATACTACCGCCTGTAATACTACTCCTTAATACTACAGGAATACAACAGTAGATTTCAAACGTTTAGGACCAGCGGTGAACGATTTTAAACTTTTACGACCTATGTGACACACTTGGAATACTTCTAGGAGCTCCGATGTATTTTACTCGTATATCTATATGCATCTATGCAAGTCTGGATTTTTTTTTCAATAGATTCAACCAACAGTTACATTCTTGTGATCAGAAATGAGAGAGTTAGTTTGCGAGGGTCCCAACTTTAAAATGATTGTGGGGATGTGTCATTCTAGTATTACCTCAGGTATACATATGTCGTTGCAAGTACAAAGATGCTAAAACTTGGTAGGCTTTGGAGTGAAAAGGTTGCACCATTGCTTGCTGTCACATTGATGTCCCTTGGGACTTCTAGAATGACAAGTTTCACAGACAATGGTATCATTTCTTTTGGACCCAGAAAATGAAAAAACGCCAACGACAACAATTCTTGTTGGGTGGAGTACCAAAGCACCGATGCATTTTTTGAGCAGCCGGAGATGTCATGGCAAACAATGCGGGAAGTGTCGCTCTGAATTGATGATTCGAATCATTAGAAAGACTATTTAGAGTATAGATATTTTCTGGACTTTACTCTGAGTTAATTGAGTGTATAGCTGCATGGGCCCAACCTGCACCGAATAGACGTGACAAAGAGTTTCTGGTAGAACACAGTCGACCGTTTCACACGGAAACCGGTACTGTGTTTTGCAACTTCTATTTTTTACCGGCTATATTCAAGAGACCCCATGTCATCCAATCATACACACACACATCCGTACCGGCCGGCTCAACGTGGCAAGAAATAAGATATTCCCTCTGTTCGCTTTTATAAGACCTTGAAGACATTTCAGACAATGTATAAAACAACCCATTTTAAACTGTCTGAAATGACTTACAAAAATGAACGAAAGGGAGTAATGTGTTTTTTGCTATCATCCCTAGTGTCTCAGAGTAACAGTCAGGCAGGCAGTCACAATTACAAGTAGTAATCCATAGTGACGTGACATTAAGAGGCTTAGATTGACATGCATGCCGGGAAAGATTGTGAGAATGCCATTTTTTAATCTCATGACAGGGTAATTAATATGACTTAAATATTTTTGTTGGAGCCTTATTTCCTTTTTTTTTACCAAAGAGCTTTTATATGGCGCTCGCCGGAACAAGATCCATTATGGGCATATTATTCTTTTGTCTGGCAGCAAATTTATAAGGCTGACCAAAAAAGGACGTCGTCAAGTTGAAACCAAAAAGCGGTGCATGCAGTAAAACACATGCGCATCCAAAAGTCTTCACTTTCCTCCTGAACAACCTGGCATGTCAGGGGCAGGAGAGAAAGGTCCCTTCGTCAGCTATATTCACCCCTATTGCTGCACGAAGTTAATGCACGCATCCCTGTAAAAAAACACGTGGCCGGATAACTGCGTTCATATGCCGCTGCGTGCAGGACGTTCACTCTCCAAACAATGCCTCTTATATGAGTTGATTCAAGTAGTATTATAAGATAAATCACTAGCGCCATATCGCATAGAAAATTTCCAATGGTAATTACTCTAGTATGCTCAATAGATACCACATTTATATTGGACAACTTATCGTTATTGGACCGAGCTGAACCACAATCACCATAGAACCACCGAAGCAACAATGTATGCAATAGTAGAGCTATGTGCAGGGTAGGGGTCTTTTGCCCCCCAGCGCCCACCCCCAAGCCGAACGACAATACGTACCAAATTTGAACTGGCCAATATGAATACCCTTTCAGAATCGCTATCATGGATAAATTCATGCCAAAAGAAATTGCGTACAACGACAAAGCCTATGTTTGCAATCATAACCGGCAAATAAGCATCTTAACTGCTTGAACAATGCGAACGCCTTTGAGATGTCATTCTTCTGCCAGACTTTTATCAAAAGTCACCAAACTATTGTTGGTTGTGCCATATTGATTGGAATCCATTTTATGCAGACACCATAGTAACTTTCCTCTATCTCTCGTCTGTTCTCTCACATGACTATTTCTTTATGAGGTAATGTTGAACCGTTGGCTGGTTTTCTCCTTGCAACTCAATGTATACAACAACAAAATAAGGTATGTCGTCCAAGTGCAGAAGAAGTTAAGAACATATTACCGCTTGATGTGACCAACATTGTATGCAATCCTTACCAAGAAAACACATGGACGGGTACAAGAAAGTAGATAAAGCCATAAGTATAATGACCATTTCTTGAAATTACTTTGCTTAGCCCACACGGTCTTTGCAACAACAAACGATGAATAAATTGCCACCAAATATAATAGCACAAAATAGTCTACTCCTTATTCTGGTCTTCTCTGTCATCAGAAGCCACGGTGGAACACATATTAGTATAAATAATCACAGCAAAGACCAGTCTAGACTTGTGTCAGATCTATGTGTGAGGCTGTACTACAAAGTACAGACCACGTTCTATGTACCTATCGAGATGGATGTAGTTGAAGTAACATAATTTTACTTCATAGTTGAAGTAACATGATTTTACTTTAGTCGTGAAGGGAGAGGGGGCTAGAGCTCCCGGTCCCTAACATAAGGTGGGGAGGTGTTGAAATATGCCCAGAGGCAATAATAAAGCATTATTTCTTCATGTTTGTAATTAAAAATTATATCTATGTGTTTGTAATTATAATGATTATTAAATATGAGATTCCGAGAAAAACTCAGTTGCATGTATGAAAACATAAATGATAGATAAATCCCTAGCTAGTCACACCTCTAAGACTAGCTCATCTTTTGCAGATGATCGTGTTTTTTCTGTCATAGGGCATTGTTAAAGTACTAAGGATACCGACAATAATGAGAACACATAACGATGGTGGTGTTAGATAGACCCAACTTTGATATATTGTGAGATCCCGTCATCACAATGTTGTCGATATTATCACATTATGTGTTAACATTTACTCGCATCCTTAAACCATGAGAGTATCATGAACCTTCGTACCAGATGATTGTTTTGGGGTTGCCAAATGTCACCCACAACTGTGTGATCATAAAGGTAGTTTACGGGTACATCAGGGCCGGACCGGCAAAATTCGGGGCCTAGTGTCAAATTCTATGGGCCTATTTTCCTAGGAAAATCAAACTATAATCAGCTTATCGACAGCTCCCCTATGATACTGAATTAAATCCTCTAATCATGTCATGTAATTAGATTCATATTGTCTTGAGGACGTAATTTGGATCTTGAAGCACAACGTCAAACCAATTACCGAAAAAGGGTTTCCCCCCGCTTTGTATTCCAAAGCACCCACACCGATTACAGAGCAAACGCTGGGGCGAGCAGCACAACAAGCCAAAGAAAAAGAAACAATGCCAACACCGGCAGCTCGACAGACGCGAATGACCTACAACCACTGCGCCCTCCGAAATCTACCCACCACGATCCTAGGCTCCGATCCTCTGTGTACCAAGCAGCACCTCCAGGAAGGAAATGACACCGACGACGGTGTTGCCCGGACGTATCCTAGGGTTTCCCCCGGCACACGGAGGGTAGAGGGGAATGAAGACCACCGGCACCCTCCAGGAAGGAATGGTGGCACCCGCAGGCGTCACCGCACCGGAGCCGGAAGATCCGGCAAGGATTTCTCCCAACTCCAAACCCCACCGCCCAACCGGATCGAAGCCAACCAACCAGCTCGTCGTCCACCAGCATGCGCCACCGTGGTCGCAACACCACCCACGCCGCCTCACTGAGATCGCCACCGCGAGGCCAAGAGAACGAGAAGGAGGCGTTGGACGATGGGAGAGCGTTGTAGCCGCGCGGGAGGGAACCACCTCCTCCGCCGTCATGCAGGAGGCTCGTGATGGGGAACGTAGCAGAAATTCAAAATTTTCTATGCATCACCAAGATCAATCTATGGAGTAATCTAGCAACGAGGGGAAGGAGAGTGCATCTACATACCCTTGTAGATCGCTAAGAGGAAGCGTTCAAGTGAACGGGGTTGATGGAGTCGTACTCGTCGTGATCCAAATCACCGATGATCCTAGTGCCGAACGGACGGCACCTCCGCATTCAACACACGTACAGCCCGGGGACGTCTCCTCCTTCTTGATCCAGCAAGGGAAGAGGAGAAGTTGAGGGGAAAACTCCGACAGCACGACGGCATGGTGGTGATAGAGCTCGTGGTTCTCCAGCAGGGCTTCGCCAAGCACTATGGAGGAGGAGGAGGTGTAGGAGGAGGGAGGGCTGCGCCAGGGAAGAGGTGCGGCTGCCCTCCCACCCCTCCACTATATATAGGGTCAAGGGGAGAGGGGGAGGCGCCCTAGGGTTTCCCCTAGGGTCG